CAGGCCTACTCTCCTCGGATATATTTCCATCCTGATGAAGAATACCTTCCTTCCTCAGCAAGATGGTATTTCACCAACGGAGCATTACTATATAAGAAAGATGAAGAGTCCAAACCTGTCCCAATCGAATCGACCGGCTCAAACCTTCCTCAAGGTGGTTCCAATGATGGTTCTTATTGGCTGGATCTACCAGTGGAGGAAGCAGCAAGAGAAAGAGTGAAGAAAGGAGATTTACAAGATTGCCAAGTCTATTTACACATAAAGCCAATGCTCGGGGCCACATTTACTGATATCGTTGCATGGCTTTTCTACCCTTTCAACGGTCCTGGCAGGGCTAAGGTTGAATTGATCACCGTTCCACTAGGAAAAACAGGACAGCATGTTGGTGACTGGGAGCATGTCACGTTGAGGATTAGCAATTTCAATGGACAGCTATGTGGTATCTATTTGTCGGCACACAGCGGGGGGGCATGGTATGATGCTTCAGAGCTTGAGTTTCAAGACGGAAACAAGGCTGTCATCTATTCATCGTTAAATGGCCATGCGATGTATGCCAAGCCAGGTCTAGTCTTACAAGGGAGTGGGAATATAGGAATCAGGAACGACACTGCCAAGAGTAATAAATTCATAGATACTGGAGCACGGTTTTCAGTGGTGTCAGCTGAGTATATGGGCTCGAGTGTCGTTGAACCACCATGGCTCAACTATTTGAGGAAATGGGGTCCAAATATCACTTATGATCTTGCCGAAGATGCCGAGACGGTGGAGAAACTATTGCCTGGAAAACTCAAGTCTGCTTTTGACAAGTTTGTGAAGAGCCTACCGAAAGAAATATTTGGGGAAGACGGTCCTACCGGTCCCAAACTGAAAAGAAACTGGACTGGAGATGAAGTCTGAAAGTAGATATTACAAGTTTAAGTTCTTTTCAACGGGCCGTGAATGAAGGAGATTTGTGCTGTTATAAAACCCCATTGATAAAGCTTCATTGTTGTTTATATTTGCTTACAAATAAATTAAATAAGTTGGAAATCAAGAAACGGGCCTGCTGTTTCGATCACGCAGAAGATCAGCATGATGCCATGAAACACAGTCAATTAATTTGTTTAGAGGTGTTAATTTCTTAAATATTACAATATTCAAGTTATTCAATTTTCCACCTAAGAACGAGGCTGGATCAGAGCTTCCTTTGGCTTGCACGTTAGTATTTATTATGTATATATATGTATACATTTGTTTGCATGCACCCACGTATTTGATTAGACCTAATCAAGGTTTAATACGTTAGTTACAAAACCTAACCATGATTATAGATTATTGCATTTTCAATTGACCTGTTCCGAGAAATATTTTATCAGTTCCAAAAAATAATAAAAAGAAAAATGAAAATCATTTTAGAAAACATGGAAACGGTTTCGGACACCGACTAATATCCATGGCCCTGCCATGGAAATGCCGGTCATTCCACGTTAAGGGTTGTTCGAAATTGCGGGTTTTAAAAAAGATTGAATTTTATTTAAAAAAACCATATTCATCATCAACAACCCTAATGTGAAAGCGAAACCTAATTCAATTTTGGCAGCTTTGAAAGTGTGCTTGAATCGGTAAAATTTGTGTCTCTTGTATTTATAGCTATTTTTTAAAATATTTTTTATTTTAAAATATATTAAAATAATATTTTTTATTTTAAAATATATTAAAATAATATTTTTTATTTTAAAATATATTAAAATAATATTTTTTATTTTAAAATATATTAAAATAATATTTTTT